GTTTTGTATTTTTAGTAGAGATGGTGTTTCTCCACGTTGGTCAGGCTGGTCTTGAACCCCCGACCTCAAGTGATCTGTTCCCTGGCCTCCCAAAGTTCTGTGATTACAAGTGTGAGTCACTGTGCCCGGCCAATTTTTTGTATTTTTAGTAGAGACAGGGTTTTGCCAATTTGCCCAGACTTGTCTCGAACTCCTGAGCTCAAGCAAGGTGCTCACCTTGGCCTCCCATAGTGCTGGGATTATTGGCATGAGCCACCATGCCCGGCCTGTTTCCTTTCTGTTAAAGGCCATAATAATAGTGCCAACCTCATAGGATTGTTGTACGAATGAAATGAGATCATACGTGTGGCATGCTAAGCGCAATGCCTGACATGTCATAAGGACTCATTAAATAACAGCTAGAAAGGGGTCATTGCTATAAGTGAGATCTAGGCTTTCACTAGGAGTTCAGGACACTGTAAAGATAATGTGCACCTGAAAAATATGGGCGGGGAGGCGCAGTGCCTTCTTTGTGGAAAGGGCAAAGATTTTTGAAATCAAACAAATTTGTGTTTGCATTCCAGCTCTGCCACCTTCCAGCTGTGTGGCTTGAGGCAAGCCATTTAATCTGAGAGCAACGACGTTGCCATGTGGTTAATATCTTCATTCTCTAATGTATTAAGTGCCTACTAAGTACCAGCCACTGTATAAGCTGTTAGAGATAAACAGTCTTTAAAAAGACACCTTGGGCCCGGCACGGTGGCTCATGCTGTAATCTCAGCACTTTGGGAGGCCAAGCTAGGCTAATTGCCTGAGGTCAGGAGTTAAAGACCAGCCGGGCCAGCATGGTGAAACCCGTCTCTACTAAAAATACAAAAATTAGCTGGCATGGTGGTGCATGCCTGTAATCCCAGCTACTCGAGAGGCTGAAGCAGGAGAATTGCTTGAACCTGGGAGGCTGAGGTTGCACGGTGAGCCGAGATTGTGCCACTGCACCTCCAGCCTGGGAAACAGAGCAAGACTCCATCTCAAAAAAAAAAAAAAAAAAGACACTTTCAAGCTGGGTATGGTGGCTTACGTCTGTAATCTCAGTGCTTTGGGAGGCTGGAGGCAGGTGACTACATAAGCCCAGGAGTTCGAGACCAGCCTGGGCAATATAGACAAAAAATATAAAAATTAGCCAGAGTGGTGATGCACACCTGTAGTCCCAGCTACTTAGGAAGCTGAGGTTGCAGGCTCATTTCAGCCCCAGAGTTTGAGGCTGCAGGGAGCAATGATTGTGCCACTATACTCCAGCCTGGGCAACAGAATGAGAGCCTGTCTCAAAAAAAGACATTTTCTCCATGCGTAAAGACTGCACTGTGGCACAGTATAGCTGGGGAGGCAGATGCAGATATGATTACAATTGGGAAAACAAAGTGCTTTCACAAAGGTAGGTCTCAGGCAAGCAGGGAAATCCTGACACAGTGAGACTCCGTCTTAAAAAAAATTTATATATACATATATATATACCTTATATATATTATATATGCATCTTATATAATTTTTATATATATATATACACACACATATATACATACATATATGTGACAAATGCAGGGACCATCAGAAACTATTGAATGGGTGGATCAAAGCCACAAAAAGTAAAGTAGAAATCAGTTTTAGAATGTGCAGATTTGCAAAATGCGATGGCAAAAACTAGAAACTCTTTTTCCACACAGCTAAAATTCAACAGCTCTCTCAAAATGGCTATTAGTATCTACCTCGTAAACACTTGTAGATTTCCTAAGCACTGGCTTTAAAAACCAGGTACCAGGGAATGCCTTATGCACTAGTTCTTTTTTTTTCTTTTTCCTCTAATAGTTGAAAAGAAAGAAACTGGCTGGGCTCAGTGGCTCACATCTATCATCCCAGCACCTTGGGAGGCTGAGGTGGGCAGATCACCTGAAGTTGGGAGTTTGAGACCAGCCTGGCCAATATGATGAAACCCGCCTCCACTAGAACTACAAAAATAGGCCAGGCGTGGTGGCGGGAGCCTGTGATCCCAGCTATTTAGGAGGCTGAGGCAGGAGAATCGCTTGAACCCAGGAGGCGGAGGTTGCAGTGAGCTGAGATTGTGCCACTGCACCCCAGCCTGGGCAACAGAGCAAGACTCTGTCTCGGATCATAGAAAAAGAGGGACAGAGAGAAAGCAGGACATTTCTGTCTGTCTTGTTGGAGCCTCTGCTGAAGCCCAAAGCCTGTTGTTAGTTCTCCAGTTTCATTCCATGTCGAAGCCCCTGAAACTCCTGGGCTGCAGGCTGTCACTTGAGTCTTGGTCCTCTGTCTCCTACCTGTCAGAGGAACACTTTCCATGGGAAGATAGGGGCATTTCTCGTCTTGGGCTCTCTTTTAAGAATCTTTACTGCAGAAGTCGAAGGAGACAGATTAGTGTGAACAGAAGTCAAAAGGGGAAACAGCTCACAGTCCCCAGGGAGGCTACTGTCATTTTCTTCCAAATATTTTGAGAACATTTTAAACGGTTTTGAGGATTTTGAGAAAGCCCTCACTTCTTCCCTATTCGATTCTTCCCCTCCGTGAGCTCCTTAGGGGCTTTCCTCTCTTTTCAGTTTCAGCTTAAGTATAAATACAATATTCCCATAGAAACAGCATCATGTTCTCTTTTTCTGCCTGCTTTGACTCTGTTTAAAAAGTCAAATTCAAGCTAGCATCAGGACATGCCATTTAAAAATAAAATTTGCCTGGTTATAAAGGAGATATAAAGTGAAGTATGAAACCTTGGGACATTCCGAACCCTTATTTTTTATAACCTGAATGTAGGGAGGTGGTAATGAGGATGTGTGTTGAAGACCAGAGTATCAGCCTTTGGTAAGCAGTCCGGGGCCATTGCAAAGGTGATGTCAACACTAAATAAGAGCAAAAGGACAGGAGGGCAAAACAATTTCAATATAAAATTATACCCAAAATGACTCTTTTTTTTCTTTTTAAAGAGAGTGAAAGTAGATAGTAATTGTTGTGTGTGTTCCTTTTCAAATAATTTACTTGGTGACCTGGTACAATGGCTCACACCTGTAATCCCAGCACTGTAGGAGGATCACTTGAGGCCAGAAGTTCAAGACCAGTGTGGGTAACATAGTGAGACACCATTTCTCCAAAAAATTTAAAAATCAGCTAGGCATGGTGCTGCATGCTTGTAGTCCCAGCTACCTGGGAGTCTAAGGTGGGAGGGTCACTTGAGCCTGGGAGATTGAGGCTGCAGTGAGCCAAAAATGGTGCCCCTGCACTCCAGCCTGGGCACAGAATGAAACCTTGTCTCAAAAAAAAAAAAAAAAAGTATTTGGTAAAATTAAGCAGCTGTCATAGTGTCAAACACTAAGATTTGACACTAATTGACACTAAATTAGGATTACCAATTTAGGTAATCCTAAATTGGTTCTCTTGATATTACTTGTTTACTAAGTCAAAGGACCTGCTGCACTAAACCCACTGCTGTTATAGCTGAGACCTCCTGAAGTGCAGAGGCGGGGCCTCTAGGAAACAAATTCCCCTTTTTAAAAAGAGGGTCCTCTGGGGTAGCATTTTCTATTTTTAACCTTTTTTGAAATTTTGATTAAAAAAACATATAACATGAAAGTTACTATCAGCCAGGCATGGTGGCTCGCACCTGTAATCCCAGCACTTGGGAGGCCAAGGCACGAGGATCACTTGAGGTCAAGAGTTCGAGACCAGCCTGGCCAACATGGTGAAACCCCTGTCTCTACTAAAAATATAAAAAATAGCTGGGCATGATGGTGCACAACTGTAATCCCAGCTACTCTGGAGGCTGAGGCAGGAGAATCACTTGAACCCAGAAGGCAGAGGCTGCAGCAAGCTGAGATCATGCCACTGCACTCCAACCTGGGTGACAGAGCAAGACTCCATCTCAAACAAACAACAAAATAAAAACTTAGCATCTTGGTAGGGTGCAAGGGCTCACACCTGTAATCCTAGTGCTTTGGGAGGCTGAATTGAGCAAGATTACTTGAGGGCAAAAGTTCAAAACCAGCCTGGGCAACGTAGTGAGACTCCATCTCTACCAAAGAATAAAAATTAGCCAGTTGTTGTGGTGTGCCCCTGTAATTCCAGTTAGTTGGGAGGCTGAAGCAGGAAAATCACTTGAGCCCAGGAGGTTGAGGCTGCAGCGAACTATACTCACACCACTGCACTACAGTCTGGGTAAACGAGTGAGACGCTGTCTCTAAAAAAAACCTGTCCACAGCTGAAATCTTCCCAAGCTGAATCTCTGCACCCATTCCATACTAACCTCATTCCTCCTCCTCACAGCCCTCACTAACCTCCAGTCTACCTTCTATCTCTATGAATTTGACTACTGTATGCAGATATATGTAGAACCACATAGTAGTTGTTCTTTTGTGCCTGGCTTATTTCACCTAGCCTATTGTTTTCAAGGTCCATCATCCATGTCACAGCACGTGTCAGAATTTCCCTCCTTTTAAAGATATTTTTAGGCTAGACATGGTTGTTCATGCTCATAATCCCAGCACTTTGGGAGACCGAGGTGGGCGGATCACCTGAGGTCAGGAGTTCAAGATCAGCCTGGTCAACATGACAAAACCCTGTCTCTACTAAAAATGTGAAAATTAGCTGGGCGTGGTGAGGGATATTTGTAATCCCAGCTACTTGGGAAGTTGAGGCATGAGAATCACTTGAATCCAGGATGTGGAGGTTGCAATGAACCAAGATTGTGCCACTGCACTCCAGCCTGGGGGACAGAGCTAGACTACATCTCAAAAAAAAAAAAAAAAAAAAAAAAGGTATTTTTATCTACCTCTAGTTGCTGATCTTAAGTTCCAGCTCAAGACTCGCGCAGGAGCTTTCCCGTCCCACCTCCGGGGCGGCCTCGCCCGCGACGACACTGGGGGACTACAAGTCCCGTCGTGCAGCGGGGCGCGCCGGGAGCTCGCGCCGGCCCCGCCCCTAGCCCGGGCCCCCGCCCCCGGCCCCGCCCTCGGCCCCGTCCCGCCGGGTCTGCCCAGAAGAGTCGCCGGTGGCCGCGGCAGACGGAAGCCGAGGGAGCAACTTGGCGGCGGCAGGATGGGGGACTCCAAAGTGAAAGTGGCGGTGCGGATCCGACCCATGAACCGGCGAGGTGAGAGTCGAGCCCGCCCAGGTCGCCGGGGCGCAGGCGGCAGGTGCCTGGCGCGCCCTTCCCTCGACTGCCTTGGGGGGTCCGGCGACCCCGCCCCTGGAGTCGGCATCCGGGCGCGAGGGGGGTCCGGGAACCCCGAGGCCCGCGCCCGCGCCGGGACGCCCCCTCTCTCTTCTCCCCTCCCTTCCCCCCCCTCGGCCAGCCTGGTTCCCGGCGCCGCCGGCCCCCTTTTGCCGGCCCCGCTGCCCCTTCCGCCTGCGCCCCGCCGCCCCGCCGCTCTTTCGCCCTCTCGTCTCCCCCGGCCCTTCCCGAGGGCGCCCTCGGCCCTCGCGCCCCGCCTCGCCCCGGCCCCTCAGCCCCGCGCCTTCCCGGCCAGCTGTCACCGTCGCCCCCGCGCGCGGGTTGCCAGCCCCTGCAGCCCGCCCCGGGACCCCGCGTCCCGCCCGGGTCGCCCAAGCCTGCACCGCCGTGGCCCGCGGCGGGAAGGAGGGCAGGGGGCCAGGTGGGCGCCTCGCAGCGAGTTCCTTCCACCTGGGCGTCCTGAGATTGGGGTCAGGTGGAGGAGATGCCTTCTTCGTTGTTTTTGGACGGTGGAGAAAGTTTTGGTTTTGCCTGAAGTCTCATTCGTCATCTCTCAACAATAAATAGTTTAAGTGCCAAGATTCTTGTGAAATTGTATCTTTCTGACATTCTCTTAAGTCTGCAGGGAGGGTAGAGAAAGCAGATAAACCGAGTACATTTAAATCATCTGTAGCCCAAGGGAGTGAAGAGAACCCCAGAAGTCATGGGAGGAGGTGGGCTGGGTATTGGCTTTGTTACTCAAAGCAGCGTGACTGGGCAAGTTGCTTTAAATGAAATAATGTCTTTGAAAACGCTTTCTATACAAGGTCGTATCACTGGGGTCGCTTACTGTCCCAGGAGATGACTTTGCCATTGATTAGACTTCGAACTAATTATCATTTAAGTACCAGAAACAACTAAGAAGTTGTAACTTCTTAGCAAAATCAAGTGTTGTTTAATTTTTATAGAGAAATTATAGTTGTTTTCCTTTTCTCTGCTGTCTCTTGTATATTTTGAGAGGGACAGATCAACCAGCTGACATTAAGTGTTGGTTTGTCCTAGGGGAAGTTGGTTTCTCGCTTGGAGTTATCTCATCTATGGGAATTGGTTTGTCCTGTTCTTGCTAGGGCCGATTAAGGCGGTCAGGTGAGTTTTTTCCCTAAGAACTTAATTACTTTAAGTTCTCAACTAGTGCAAGATTGAGTCCTGCTTTGCTTCACTAATCTCGTGCTCTGACAACACGAAGTAAACGTCGATGCAGTTCTGAACATTTTCAGAAGCATGAGTTTTGAAACATTCAGGCAGCTGTATTCCAGTTCACTCAAGGTTACCATCACAATAATTTAAAGAAAAAAAGCCAAATGAAACATAACTTATCTGTCAGTTGATTCTGAAAGGATGGCTTCAGCACATTCTTAAAATTTCCTTTTCACAAGAAACTTGGAAATGTCAGTGCTAAAAAGAGGCGGCTAAACAACCACACAAAAGTCATCTCAGCTATTTAGAGCCCTTCTTTCCCTCTCCCTTTCCCCATTGGTTTCACTTTTTCAGGGGAGTTCTTAACCTTTATACTTACAAATTGCCGTTGATAAGCTTGTAATAATCATCAGAGTTTAGAGGAATGTAAAGAATAATCGTTTTAGCTGTGGAATGGACGTGAGCTGATCCTTGGGTTGAACTCCTTTTAAAATTGAGGTTTACTCATAGATTTCATTACCCTATATAGAGAAGTGGATTATTTGGGGTAAAGTACCTCCTGGGTTCATTTAGTGCCCACTCTTAGCCTTGTATTTTCTAACATACATGTGGACTTCTTTTTTCAGTGATTACCACACATAAATTTGCTCTTTACCATTTTTGTTGTGAAGTAGTTGTTAGCATAAATAAAGGTTATTATGGAATACAGTGTGGTGGAATTCTATACAGTGATTTTAAAAAATTGGTATCTAGGTGGGGAGTGGTGACTGATGCCTGTAATTCCAGCACTTTGGGAGGCTGAGGCGGGCAGATGGCCTGAGGTCAGGAGTTCAAGACCAGCCTGACCAACATGGAGAAACCATGTCTCTACTAAAAATAATGAAATTAGCCAGGTATGGTGGTGCCTGCCTGTAATCCTGGCTACTCACAAGGCTGAAGCAAGAGAATCGCTTGAACCCAGGAGGTGGAGGTTGCAATGAGCTGAGATCACGTCATTGCACTCCTGTCTGGGCAACAGGAGCCAAACTCAGTCTCCAAAAAAAAAAAAAAAAAAAAAAAAATCAGTATCTAAAGTTTGTATGAAAAGACTAAAACAAAACCGTATTCCTTTCCAGTAATTTCTTTTTTCCCATATGATATGTAGGAATCTTTCCACCTTTCCAGTAATTTTGAAAAGAATCTTATTACTTTGAATTACTTAGAAGTTATTCTAAAAAAACTAATGTATTAAGTACTTGTGTATAATTGGGGCAAATAGTAAAACTGGAGTCCTAATGCTTTCTATCATCCTGTATATGTGCAGAAAGCAACCTTATAAATCACTGTCCACAGATGAGGACGGGGATGAGAATGGGTTACTGTGATGATGTAGTTGTGCTGTGTAGACTCTTAATGTTTGGAATCACATTAGCTGTATTCTGAGGAAAGTCCGAAAATTTCCAGACAACTCTGGTGTATTAAGTTCTCATGTAATTCAGTGTCTGATTGTGCTTAGGTGTTTGGAGTTTTAAGGTGGTTGGCTGATTTATTTATTTATTTATTTATTTATTTATTTTCTTTTTTTTTTTGAGATGGAGTTTTGCTCTTGTTACCCAGGCTGGAGTGCAATGGAGCGATCTCGGCTCACCGCAACCTCCGCCTCCTGGGTTCAGGCAATTCTCCTGCGTCAGCCTCCCGAGTAGCTGGGATTACAGGCATGTGCCACCATGCCCAGCTAATTTTTTGTATTTTTAGGAGAGACGGGGTTTCACCATGTTGACCAGGATGGTCTTGATCTCTTGAGCTCGTGATCCACCCGCCTCGGCCTCCCAAAGTGCTGGGATTACAGGCTTGAGCCACTGCGCGCCCGGCCGGCTGATTTATTATTTAACATTTATCCTGGAAGTGAGAGTGTTTCAATCTTTTTGCTAAACTGTATGTAAGTTTGGGAAACTTAGTTTTTTGAAGGCTAAGCAGCTAAACTGTATGTAAGTTTGGGAAACTTAGTTTTTTGAAGGCTAAGCATTAGGCCCTAATTGAATAACAGGAAGAGTTGTAATGCCTAATTTGTCAAGAATATTTTTCTAGTCATACATTTATTCTAACATTACCCTAACAAAGCAAAAAGAAAAAGTTCTCATACTTTATCCTCACAGCTTTTCGTTTCCATGCCAATTTGTGCTCACACGTGTATGTAATTTTACATAATTTTAATATTGCAACCTTTGTTTTGGCTTCCTCTCAGCTGCAGAGCTAAACAGCTAGAGAAAAAGGGGTAAACTTTGATCGCAAGCTCCGGCAGTTCTATTTGCAGATGTTGTTTGTTTTCTAATGTTGTTGTTCAGACTGTACAGCTCAAAAGGTATGTGTCCATGTACTGCACAGAACACCCATTCATACATTACTAACCTGTCTAATCATTAAAGGAGCTGAAAGTTTTGTAGCCATTATTGGTGGGATTAGTTAGATCAGCAACATTGTATTTTCCAGGAATTTAATGTTTTCTAACTTTAGGTGGTTTAAAAAAATGTTCACTAGGTAAGCAAACATTTATCGAGTGCCTGCCAGGTATCTAGCTTCTATTAGATAGGATGGGATCTTAATGCCTTTCCTCAAGGGATTTCCTGTGTTTAAATCTGGGTAAGATTGACTACCAAAATAAGTAAATATCTATAAAAGGTGTTTGGAATACCTTTGTTATCTACCTAGCCCAAGGGGGTAGAACCAGGAAGCGAAAGAAATGAAGATAGAAACAGTGTCAGGTGTTAGGGAGAATAGATGAGAAAGTTATTTCAGGAGTTATTTCAAATGAGTTTATGTTGCATTTTACAATACCTGATGTGGTCAGAGATGCAGAATAGAGCCAGTGCCTTGGTAATCATGATTTAGTATCTCAATGGAGGGACTGTTACACAGCCATTAAAATGATGCTAGTCAAAACCATTTAACAAGGAAGATGATTTTCTTTGTTAGTGGAAAAAGCAGAATGTAAAGCTGTATAACCGGTGGAATCCATTATGACTATTGCTATGTAAACACATACACAGGAATGGGCAAGAGCTAGAAAGAATCATGAAAAAGTGAAATTGATTGTTCTTGTTAGGGAACTCAGTTTCCTAAAGCACGCTTTCGGGTTCACGCTCATGAGGAAATGACTGTTACGGGCGTGAAAAGAAAATGACTGTGAAGAGATTAGATTAAAAGGTAAACAGCAGTAGCAGGCTGCTAGTTATTAAGTGCCAGGAGAAGGACAGGGAAGTAAGGGAATCATGAGGAGTTTATATTTCACTGAGGAGGGTGAACTTTGGTTGGACTTCCAGGGAGGAAGCTTATGATGTGAACACGGGTGAGGGGAGGTCATGGATTCTTCAAGGAGGAAGTATGGCCTGAGAGTAAGGACACAGAGATGAGAATGAGCGAAGCAGGTTTAGGCAGCAGAGAGGAGATCTGCCTGCCAGAAAGGAGATTGTGTGAGGGTAGCTAGAGAACGATGGCAGGGGGAAGGTCAGGTGGATTGCAGGAAGCCCTGAATGGAGCTAGGCCAGAAGTCTGGGCCTAGGTTGGCTGGTCCACGCACTCTGTTTTGCTTCTTAGGACTTTGTGTGCGTCTGGGACACAAACACAACGGAGAAAGATTGCTAGATCTCAAAGCAAGATTGCCTCAGTAGATAACTGATTTCCTGCCATAGCTGGGCAGGATTTAAAAGCGCTTGGCGAAAATGAAGCCGTCCGAGTGGGAAGCATAAGGAAGTGGGTCAGAATTA